GGAGCCCAGAGCGCGCCGGGTGGGCAGGAGGTCGGGAACGAAGGGGAGCCGGGACACCGAGAAGGAAGGGGAAGGTCAGGCAGAGCCGCCGTTGCCCGCGGACGCAGAGGAGCCCGGAGGGCTGCAAGCAGCTACCGCCCCGCGGGAAGAGCGAGGGGCCTCGAAGCAGGGATCCCGGGGTGGGGGCGGGGTTCGCACAACTCACGCTCCACTGCGGCGCGCCACAGCCTCCTGCTCGCTCGCTCGCGACTGACAGAGAACCGGAAGTGACGGCCGCTTTGAGACGCTGACTCCGCCCCGCTGGAACCGCGAACACGTGACGGGGCGTGGTGTCACTGCCAGACCCTTTCCAAGGCCTTAAAGGAACCGCCTCTCGTCACTAGCGGGTGCTATTAATTAGACCTGACTTGAGAGGGAATGAGGGTGCTAGTGAAAGACGAATGATGAGCATATTGCTCTTGTTCAATAAATGCTTGTCTAGTGGAATGAAGAGCCAAATTGAAAAAGATCAACCCGCTTGCACATTTTCCATGAGTGAATCTCCTGCTTTCCCATCCTGCTTTTCCTCACTCTGCCCGCTGAAGTCCAAAGGAAAGAAGCTAAAGTCACAGCGTTTAATTCTCAAAAAATATAAGATATCTTTGCAGAAGTCCGCACAATCTCTGTCCCTCAATTGAAGTCCTAGAGGTGCAAGTTCACAAAACACAAGAGAAATCCGTTCTACAAGCACGAATGTGGCTAGTAGATTATTTTAATGTTTGTTGAAAGTCTGCTACAGCCAAGAACTGATATCGTTTTATTTATTGAACAAACATTTGGCATGCACCCACTGTGTGACACGACATACATGAGGCATTTTACATTATTATTCATCCTTACAAGTACTTTCCAAAGTAGGAATGATTATTTGCTTTGCTTCATGGATGAGGAAATCAAGGATCAACAGGATTTAATAAATGATTCAACTTTAGGGCCGAGGTCCCTAGTTCGATCCCCAATATTAAAAAAAAAAAAAATCAGCCTTACACTAACACATTATTACCTACACAAGGAGAGTAGAAAAGCTCTACCCACTCCTACTTTATGCAGTATCAGGAAGGCTAGATGACCTTTCAAGAGTGAAACACTAGCTGTATAATTTCGTGAGTATGAAGTTACAAATACAAAATCTGTAGCAGAGGTCAGAGCTGTTTTGAAGGATGTGATTGGGAACAAGTCAAATGGAAACTGCTGTAGCACTGAAAATACTTTGGAAATGTGGCAGAGGTGTATATAGGTATAAAATTTCACTTAAGATTTGGGAATTTAATAATACGTAGGATCTACTTCAGCAAGAAAGTTAAAAAGAAGGGCTGGCGATTTAGCTCAGTGGCGCCTCACCTGCCTGGCAAGTGAAAGGTCCTAAATTCGAACCCTAGTGGGTTGGGGGTGGGGGGGAAATATCTGGGGTTGTGGTACACACCTATAACACCAACACTTTAAAAGACTGACAGGGCTGGGTATTTAGCTCAGCGGTTTGGTGGCCTGCCTTGCAAGAGCAAGGACCCAAGTTCAATCCCCGGTACCAAAAAATAAATAAATAAACCAAAAATAAAAAATAAAAGACTGACAGAGGAGGGTCACAAGTTCAAGCCAGCCTGGGCAACTTTTCGACTTAATGAGACCCTGTCTCAAAAAAAAAAAATTAAAATTAAAAAGGTGAATTTATATAGCTCAATGTAAATGTCTTGGGTTCAACTTTCAGTAATACAAAAAGGGAGTGAGGGCAGGTGCATTGGCCTATGATCTCAACATTCTGGGAGGCTGCAGCAGGAGGATCAAAGGTTTAAGCCCAGCCAGGGTAATTTCAAAATGAAAAATGGGCTGGGGGCGTAGCTCAGCACAAAGGCCCTGGGTTCAAACCCCAGTACGACAAAAGAATGAGAAAAAAAAAAAAAAAAAAAAAAAAAAAAAAAAAAAAAAAAAAAGAAAAAGGGGGAAAGAAGAAAGGGAGGAAAGGAGGAAGAGAGAAAGATAAAATTGTGAAATTAAGTTGTAAAAAAGTGGAATGCACTTAATAACTCCTGCTTCAGCTTTGTAGCTTGAGAGTCTAGGCCTGTAATAGCAAACATCTTAGAGCTCTCAGTTACAACAGCCAGCTGCAGCTCATGTGCCATAGGTTGCTACCACTAGTAGAGTTTACATGCACAAAAGCAGACAGGAAAGTGCTTACAAGGACACTGTGGGAAGATGACCAAAGTTGCCTGGGACACACCAGAGCCTGGGGCCATGATGGGGAGCCCATTGTTCAGGATATCTGATTGAACAGGGCTCACATACGATAGAGAATTATTACCAGGTGACCTGGGCCCTGGCAGGCATGGATGTAGTTCTGTTACCAGAATGCTGGGGTCCCATCCCTCAATGACAAAGAGTGAAACCACAAACAAGGAAGTAAGGCTTCTGCTACCCAGGAGTGGGTACTGAGTGGGATATCCGTAAAGGCTTTTTGTCTAGGGTTTTTAAGATTTCTAGAATGGAGTTCAAGCCATTGTGTATGTGATATAATCTCACCTTACAGAGACTACGTAATTTTTAGGGTCTAATCTATGCAGTGTTCATGAGGGGCCCATGTGACCTTGAACTAGAGGCCTACCTAATCAGGCTCTAGGAAGGTCCCAGACAGCTGAAGGCCCCCAAAGCCTCAAGTACTCATAGGTGGGGCCTTTCAGAGGTGGGTGGATCTAGGGTATATGAATATGGATGAAAGGTATGTGTTATCTGGATTAGTCCCCGAGTTGGATTAGCATAGCTCTGGGTGCGGCTGAATAGAGTTGTGAAAATTTTAATCTAATAAAATAAAAGAAGCCATGAAAATAAATTCTGGCCCTGCTCCCTGTCTTGGGACCCTATACACTTCCACACCAATCTAAAGAAAGTCATGCGTAGCACTCAAGCTAAACCAAACAAATTAATATGACATCTCAATTCTTTCCCCTTACCGCCACTCTCTCTCTCTGCTTTTCTCTGCCATATCCCCAGTACCAGAGATAGAACCCAGGTCTTCCCTTGCAACAAAAGTTTTCATTCATGGTTTGTGTCAGAGAACTGGGCGGCAGTATGCCCACTGTAGATTTGAGTTTCGGTTCTCAGGGCCTCTGAAGGTCAAGAGCTGTTGAAGAGCTATGTATGCATTGTTAGAAGCAAAGAGATTTGATGCTTTGCATGCAAATTTAAGTGGCTTCATTTTCTTGGGTATGATGCACTGGAACTATCAGCAAATCCTTGATTCTAAGTGATGGTCTGTAAATAAAAGCACATGTAACTCAAAATGGTAAATAATAATTTCTTAAATTTAGGTGAAAGAGAAAGAAAAATTTTCAAAACTTTAAATGAAACAGGACAGCTGTTATTTTCAAATAAAAGAAAGGTAGCGTGGCTCACAGGCATCTATATGGGGTGGATGAGGTAGACAGAGTAGGGTATAGCCCCTTTTATAGGAAAATTCTGGAAATGTGACTAGTACTCAAGACACTGAAGCAGATGGAGTACTATGAGTTTAAGGCCAGCATGAAATACATAGAGAGATTCTGTCTCAAAATAAATAAACAAATAAATGTACAAAATGTGGCAAGTCCATAGGTTATCAGAAAGGTAGTTTTGGGAGCAGGGGTGAAAAGAGAAGGAGTGAGGAAACTAACTTCATACCAATGAAGGGACCAGAGCTTTGAGGAGGAGACAGTCAGGGAGAAATCCCTAAGGGTTGCTGTGATTGGGGAATGTTACACGGTTCTCTGGATGTGTCATGCTAACAACCCTCCAATACACACTTTTGCTACAAGTTCAAAAAAAAAAAAGTTATCCAAGTAGCGGATTATTATTCTGAACTGTTACCCAATGTGGCTTTTGTTCCTCGCTCTTCCTGCATTCTGACCCTTACCCTCCCCCTTCCTCCCATTTTGTCAGCTACAGGCATTCCACAAATAAGAGCAGAGAAGAGAAGAGGTAGGGGTCAGATGCATGGCTTTGGACTTTTAAACTATTAGGTTTCCAGGCCTAAACTATGATTTAAAAATAATCTGTGATTAGTTGAAACCCGTTTTTTCTGCCATCAGCCCACCCAATTTAGATATCATTGAGACTATGGAAGGGAAGAGAAAGAAGAATCTTCAGAGTATGACCATTTAGTTTTAATTATCCAATCTTGATTGAATCAAGAGACATGCAGATCGGTGAAGCACACTTCCAGGTGTGGCTCCAAGGGTGTCTCCAGAAATGATTGACACATGGGATGGCAAAGTGAGAAGTAGGACTCACCTGAAAGTGGGTGACACCACTTAATAGAAACAGAAGGAAGAAGCCCACCAGTTGACACTCTTTCCCTCTCTCACTGCTCCCCAACTGTCATGATGTGAGCAACTGTCCTCGGCCGTATCCTCTCCACCATGATGGTCCACCTCACCACAGGAACAAGGGAGTCAACTGGCAAAGGACTGGAACCTCTGAAAATGTAAGCCAAAATAAAGGCATCCTCCTTTAAACTGATATTCTCAGATATTTTGTCACAGTAACAATAAGCTAAGGAACACACCCGAGAAGGAGCCCTGCACACTCCACATGAGAGCAGCCCCAGGGAAGGAAGAAACCATCAGTCCTCAAAGGGCCTGGGGATATAGAGCAGAGGGAGAACCTCTCTGCCCCCTTAGTTCTTATGGGGACCCTTTGGCTGAATCTACAAACCCAGTTAACACAAGACCTGATTAACAAGAGAAAAGCCGTGAAGTTTTATTAAATTTATATGTACATGGAGATCTTTACAGGAGAGTGAAGAAGAAATGACCAAAGCATAATTCTTTCCTACATTTTAGACAACAATAAATTTGTGAAGGAATAACAGGATAAATGAACTCTCTCAGGGTAAGGTAGTTGTCCTGGTTATTTTCTTGTTGCTGAGACAAAAATACCCTACACTCAAAGTTAAAAGAGAAGAAGTTTTGGGTGGGGGATTTAGCTCAGTGATTCTACTGCCTGCCTCACAAATGCAAGGAACGAAGTTTGATCCCCAGTACCAGAGAGAGAGAGAGAAAGAGAGAGAGAGAGAGAGAAGGTTTATCTTCACTGACAGATTAAAGAGATTTCAGTCCATCCAGAGTCAGCTGGTGCCAAGGTAGGGCAAAATAGCAGAAGAGAAACAGTCCATGGCAGGGCAGGCAGAAAAAAGCCAGCCCACCTGCCTTCCATCTTTCCCATTATATTTCATCCAGTTTACAAGCCTATTGATTGGTGCCACACACACCCAGAGTGGATCTTTCATTATTCACACCCAGAACT